TGTGTGCCTTGGGTTAGACTCAACAAGAGTCTTCAGTAGCATCAATATCAATTCCAACATGTCGGCCCCTGCCATCACAGTTTTTAAGGCTAAAGTCACCTGAACGCAATTTGCTGAACCATCGTTGACACTTATGAACGTTCTAAACATTTCCATAAATTTCTTTAATATTCTTTACGGCTACAGAGGCGTTGTTTACCTTCGTGTATCCAAACAGCATTACATACGGAATCTACGTCTCATCGTATGCTATCACTGTAAATGATTAGAGTATACTAAATTTTACACATTATATAGGTTACACTGACGTGACGTTTAGGCGGTTCGTTTAACTATTATACGTGATGTACGTTTTTGTGGGGGGTGGTTGGTTAATGAAAGTGTTCCAAAACGGGACGTTAATTTCTTGATGACCTAAAAGTTTATAATCTTGACCAATAATAATTAAAAGTTTATAATACTGACCCACTAATATTTAAAAGTTTATAATATTGACCAGATAATATTTAAAATTAAGCATATATATATATATATATATATGCATTTATAGCATTGGGAATATTATGTAAATTGTGAGAGAGAAAAAGGAGATTTAAAGGTAGAGAAAACAAGGGGATCTGAAGGTAGAGAAAACAAGGGGAACTGATGGTAGAGAAAACAAGGGGAACTGAAGATAGAAAAAACAAGAGGATATTAAGGTAGAGAAACCAAGGGGATCTGAAGGTAGAGAAAACAAGGGGAACTGAAGGTAGAGAAAACAAGGGGATCTGAAGGTAGATACTATGGGAGTGCCACCCCTTTTTGTGTGAAAATAGAGTACAGGGCACGTGCTGAAAGTTTACACTGTGGTTGGTTGTCATCCAATCAGTCAAAGAGTACCACTATATGGTCCACAAAAGTATAAACAATGATCCTGTGCCCTCTATCGTGTATCCAGTCGTGTCTGAAATACACATAATAATGGCATTTTTAGCTGGTCATGGGTATTCCACAAGGCATGTTTCACCAAGAGCTTACGAAAGACTCTGAAGAGGATACGACAAATTAGCACCATTAATAACAAAAGTATAAAACCGAAACTAGGGTACGACCAACTGGCACCGTTAATAACAGAAGTGTAAAACCGAAACTAGGATACAACAAACTGGCACCGTTAATAACAGAAGTGTAAAACCGAAACTAGGATACAACAAACTGGCACCGTTAATAACAGAAGTGGAAAACCGAAACTAGGATACAACAAACTGGCACCGTTAATAACAGAAGTGTAAAACCGAAACTAGGGTACGACCAACTGGCACCATTAATAACAGAAGTGTAAAACCGAAACTAGGATACAACAAACTGGCACCGTTAATAACAGAAGTGTAAAACCGAAACTAGGGTACGATAAACTGGCACCGTTAATAACAGAAGTGTAAAACCGAAACTAGGGTACGACCAACTGGCACCATTAATAACAGAAGTGTAAAACCGAAACTAGGATACAACAAACTGGCACCGTTAATAACAGAAGTGTAAA